CATCGGGCTCCCTGCTCAGCCAGGGGCCTGCTTCTCCCTCTTCCACTCCCCCTGCTTGTGTTTCCTCTCTAGCTGTCTCTCTCTCTGTGTCAAATCAATAAATCTTAAAAAAAAAAAAAAAAACCACCTGTGTGAGATCAATGCAAGCACAAGGCCACAGGTTTCAGGACAGCCCAGACGAAGTGGGGGACAGGAGGCTCCTGAGAAGTGGGGTTATTGTGCCAGATCTTAAGGACGGAAAGAAGGAAAAAAACAGAAAAGTGACAATGACATTCCTTGCAAAAGAAACACCATGGTGTATGCCAGAGCCTCCAGAGAATAAAGGACAAGGCCAAGAATGGCAAGAAATGATGCCGTGGAGGAAGAGTCAGGGGTCAATCACGAGGGGCCTCATAAGCCAGGCCGAGAAGCCAAGAGACTCTCTGGGAGGAGGGAGGGTGGTGGAAGGGTGACATAGTCAGGCTTGGGGGGTGAAGAGTAAGTAGGATGGGGACAAGACTGCAGGCAGTCCGATCCCACCAGAGCCTCTGCAGGACCCAGCAAGAAAGGAGGTGGTCTAAATGAGGAGGCGGCAGTGAGAATAGACCTGGTGAGCTGGATGTGGGATGCAGGCAGATGGCTCCGTCTAGGATGACCCCCAGTTTCTGCTTTTAGAGAGGAGTGCCTACTATCCACCGCCTTAGAGAACAGAGTAAGAGAACCCAGTTTATAGGAAGATGAGAGGCTCCGCTGTGGACCCCAGGGAGCTGAGACGTTTCTAGGTCATGCAGCAGGCAGCTGCACCTGCAGATCCGTTGCTCTGTGAGGCGGCCTCACAGGAATTGCATGCAGCTCAGTGCCCGGGGCAAGTGAAAAGGGAACCCAGACAGCACCGCAGGGAACACGGATGAACAGAGCATGGCTGGCCTGGGAAGCATGCGAGGAGCAGGAGAGTTATCCTGAGGCAGCGGAGAATCGGGAGGCACGGCCCGAGAAGCCAAGGGCCTCGAAAAAATGAAAACGGAGGAAGTGGTAGAAAGGTCGGGGACGCGGCAGGAATGGGCCAAGGATTCGGGGGGAAGTGAGGAAGCCCTGGCCGGAAGCATGAAGTGGAAACTGCTACTTCGAGAAATCTGGCAGTGAGGGGGAAGGGATGGGGAGAAGAAACTACAGCAAAGAGGGAGAGGATGAAGATGTGCAAGAATTTGACGGAGGGAGCACAGCGCGCGGAGGGCCTGCAGCGCAAAGCAGGGTGAGCGCGCTGACCCCGAACAGGAGGTAAGTCTCTGCTGAAGAAACGGGGGAGGACGGTGTCGAGCCGTGGGGCTCGGAGGGGCCCCTGGGGGCTGGAGACCGTCAAGGGAGACAGCACCGGGGGCCTGCGTCTTCGGGGTGAATGAAGCAGCGGCCGAGCGGGGCGCCAGGGGGAACAGAGGCCGGGGATGAAGAGGGCCGGTGGGAGCCGGGTTTCAGCGCAGGCAGACCACGGGAGGCCGGCCCGCAGGGCACGCGCAGCGACCTGCGGCGGCGGGAGAAGGGGGAGCGGGAGGCCTGACCAGGCCGGGGAGCGGGACTCGGGTCTCAGCCACGACGCCCACGGGCGTGGACGGGGAGGAGGTGGCTGCGCGTCGGGAGAAGATGCGGGGGTCCTCGGCACTGCTGGTCCCCAGGAGGTGGCAGGGCGCGTGGTGCCTGAGGGAGGAGGCCAGGGCGGGGCGGGCAGGAGTCTGGCGACATCCTGGGGGGTGGCAGTGGAGGACAGGGGACCATGGTGGGGGGCACAGAGTCCCAGGGGGCCAAAGAGCTGGCCACGCGCTGGAGTCCGCGCTCAAGTGCGGGGACGGGGGGATGGGAAGCAGAGGGGAACGCAACGGGGTGGGTTGGGTACGGGGAAGGTGGCGGACGGGGCGGACGGAGGGACACACGGTGGCGGAGGAGGCGCCGCCCTACCCGAGGTCAGCAGCGGTGGCAGCAGCAGCAGCAGGACACAGCGGCTCAGGGCCCAGGGCCCCGAGGCTCCAGGCCCAGCGCTGCGGCTGAACGGCAAGGCGGCCATGAGGCCCGGGAGGTGCCACCTAACGGGGCAGACACAGTGCCGCGAGCCCCGGCAGGTGATGGCGACCCTGCCGCGAGCAAGGGCGTCTCCAGCACGTGATGGAGTTCCGGGCGCGTGACGGCCGCGCCAGCCCGGGACAACGCCCCGGACATTCCCCTGGCACCCATGGGAGCCTCTCCTGCATCCGCCACCCACACCTTGTGCCTGTTCCTTGAAGATGGCCTCGGAGCCCGGGATCTGCGAGTGCCTCCAGGGTGGCCAACTCCATGAAAGCACCCCCAATTGCTTTAAGATGGGGCCAGTGCCCCCAGTCTCTGGACCTCTGAGGGTACCTTTGTCACCCAGCCTGACACACCCTTGGTCCCCTGGGCTTGGTGCGTTGGAAAGGTTTACAAGTTATGTTGATCTGAGAATCTGAAAAGATGTAGGAAGCACAGAAAAGGAACAGTAAGGCAAGGGAATCCCGGAAGATGTCTTTAGGAAACTAACATTTGCGCTGGATCTAAGACTGGAATAAGGAGTCTTGGGGGAGTCCTGAGAGAGGAAAGGCATTCCTCTTCTTTCACGGACCACCGATCGGATGGTTGCACCCGAAAGAAATGGTGGCGGATGCCAGGCCCTGGGCCGTCGCAGAGCGATTTTGCAGGATAGGGTCTTTGCATCTGCTGGATGTAGCAGAGTCAGGAGCGGATCACCAAGATTCTTACTTCTCTTGTCTAGTGGCGGGGAGGGGGCGTCCAGCTCTAAGGGGGTCCACATAACGAGTTCCCACCACTGACAGGTGAGTGGAAGTGCTGTGTGCCACTTCCATGTCACGGTGTCAAGAGGAGGACGCCTTCTCTACTCGTGTTCATGCCGAGCAATGGTGCCCAGAGCAGCAGCACCATCACTTAGAGCTTGTAAGAGATGTAGTTCTCAGGCCCGCCCAAGACCTACAGGACTGAAAACTTGGGGAGTGGGACCAGTGATGTCTAGTTTACCAAGCCAGAGAGAGAGACGCTGGGACACTGAGCCAGAGAAAGAGGGTAAAGAGCCAGTGCCTAATACAATAAATCTCACTTGCCTTCCTCCCAGTAGGAGCACAGATGTTTGTTAACAAAGTGGAGGGGACAGGATGCCCGGGTGGCTCAGTCGGTTAAGCGTCTGCCTTCAGCTCAGGTCGTGATCCCAGGGTCCTGGGATGGAGCCCCGCATTGGGCTCCCTGCTCAGTGGAGAGTCTGCTTCTCCCTCTCCTTCTGCCCCTCCCCTGGCTTGTTCTCTCTCTCTCCCTCAAATAAAAAAAATCTTTT